ATTTGTAAACCCCCCCCCCCCCCCCGGTTGCTAATTTGCTATGGCTTTAAAGACTTCGACTGAAATTCCAATCAATTTATCATTTAATATTAAATTGAGGCTGATTTTTTTGACATTGTCATATTATGACACATTGTCACCCGAATTGGGGAGGTGGGTCACTGTGGCTGGTGGGGGGGGGGATTTATATGGGTGGGTTGGGGAGGGTTTATATGGGGTTAGGAAGGGTATGAACCATTTTGGAAACAAACAACCGTAGAATATTGAGCCAACGTTGAATTAGTAGCTTTGCGATATTACACGTAGCCATTTGTTTGGGAGATGTAGAATAAGAGAGGAAGCAAAATAAACAAAATAAAATAAAGAAGTTAGCATATATCTTTTGGTTGGGAGAGGAAGGTAAGTATCCTCTTATTTTCTATCATTATTTTTCCTTTCAAAAGGGAGAAAATTTAAATAGTAGCTCCACTCATATCTTTCTATTCTTTTTATTACTACTTAGGAGGGAAAACAAAGCCATGAATTTCGGAGTACATCCAAATGAGGGGAGGAAAAATAAGCCTCATTATTAGAAAAATTTTCCACCCTCTTATTTTACCTCAATCGTTTTCTTCCATCCAAACAAGTACGGTTCATTTGATATTACACATCCGGTTGTACGTATATCTACGTACAACCAGCTCAATAATGTAGCCCATTTGGAACTCTCTCTAGTTAGATCATTGGCATCGTGACCTTTCCTTGCTCGAAAATTTCTCGGATTATTATACTTGTGACTCCCCCTCGATAATCTCCCGAGCATGATTTCAATAGAATTTCATCTATAGTAATTTTCTTGGCACCACTGTCAGTGAAATGCTATTCACCAGAACCCAACTTGAAATGTGTTCTCTCTTCGCATCTCCCCAACAATGAACGTGCCATCTCCAAATCTAGCGCGCGACTCTCTAGCTCCGATGAACACTAGGGTCTGAACACAATGACAAAGAGGAAAATGAATATCTAGTCTGTTTCAAACGAAGATGTAGAAGCTATTGTTAGGTTTGAAATTTTTTTTCATTCATTTTGGGAATGAAATGTGTTCAATCTTATGTTTGGTAGTACTCATTGCATTATGTCCTGGTTTGTGTTTCAGTTTCAAATTACATAGAAAAGTAGTAAAATAAGTTCATTCATTTGGCAATGAAATATGTTCATTACGTTGTGTGATAGTATTCATTCTTATATGTCCTTGTACTCATTTATAATGTTAGCAGTGGATACAAAGCATATTTGTGGTTTGACTTTATATAGCATAGAAAAGTAGAAAAGAAGTTGTTCATTTTGACAATGAAATAGGTTCAATCTTATGCTTGGTAGTACTCATTGTAATATATCTTGATATGCTTGCAGTTTGGTTTCAAATTTTATAGGAAAGTAAAAAAGATGTACTCTTATTTTGGCAATGAATATGTTCATTCTTCTGTGTGGTAGCACTCTCTCTATATGTCTTGGTACTTATTTGTAGTATGAGAAATGCATAGAAGTCATGCTTGTGCTTTGGTTTCAAATTACATAGAAAAGTAGAAAAAATTTATTCATTTTAGAAATGAAATATGTTCAATCTTTAGCGTGATAGTACTCATTCTGATATGTCTTGGTAGACTTGTGGTTTGGTTTCAAATTGCATAGGAAAGTGGAAAAAATGTATATTTATTTTGGCAATGATATATCTTCATTCTTGTGTGTGTTAGTACGCATTATGATATATTACGGTACTCATTTATAGTTTGAGTAGTGGAATAGCAAGTTCATTCAAATAAATTACAAATTTGTCTTGTACAATTAGATAGGTATAGTTGGTTGTACCATTTAATTTGGGTTGTGCGGCAATGACTAAATAAAAACAAAATTTAACTAATCACTCCCATTTAGAGGAGTTTATGTTTGAGCTCATATTTTGAGAATTTTTTTTAAACTTCTTTTAGGTTTTCTAAACTTTTTTTAGTTTTTCCCACTCTTTCTACTTCATTATTATTTCCTGCTATTTTTTGTAATTTTCTCCTGCAGTAATTTAAAAAAAATTTGTGTGTATTTTTCATACTATTCTTATTTCAAATATTTTATCATTATTGTTATTATAACCATTATTATTATTATTATTACAATTATCACTATCATCATTATCATCATCATTTTATTATCATTCTTATTATTATTATTGTTATTGTTATTGTTGTTGTTGTTGTTGTTATTATTATTATTATTATTATTATTATTATTATTATTATTATTATTATTATTATTTTTATTATTATTATTATTATTATTATTATTATTATTATTATTATATTATTAGTATTACCCTCTCTGCCTAGATTTAGTCTTCTCATTTGAGTTTTTACGGTCTCTAATGCAATACTATGACCATTAGTATATATATTTATACATAGACATATACTAGAAAGTTTTGATATTTCAAATTATATCTTAAAAGAAAAAGTATTGATATTACGAATATATTGAAAGACAATGTAATTTTCGTATATCGAGGGCACAATTTACAAACTTTGACAAAAAAAAGTGAAATAAGAAGATTTAATTCAGAAATAGGGTGTATTATTGTGTTTTTTGTGCAAGGAGTATTAGTGTATTATTATTATTATTAATCATCATCATCATTGCTAAAATATATGTTTGAAATAAGTATTGCATTACTTTTAAATACGCATATGACGAATTACAATAACTTCTTTCACCAAAATTTATAATATTAGAACTCTCAACAACTACGACGTATATTCTTTATTATCTAAATTTGGTTATTTAGGTTATTTTTAATATAGTGATTTTAGAATATTTTTGTCTTATTTAAATCTTTAATTAAAAAGTAAACCCACTACTACAAAAATGACCAAATCGATAACCTCATTTGCATCGGTCAGCAAAACAATCGATCTAAATGTAAAAAAAATTCACGTATCGATTGATATTTGCATCGGTTAATCCTAATAATCGATTCAAATAGTTATTTGAATCGGTCATTAGGATTAACTGATGCAAATGAGCTTTATCTTTTGAATCGGCTAATCCTAATAACCGATTCAAATAACTATTTGAATCGGTTATTAGGATTAACCGATGCAAATAAGTATTTTTAAGTAGGCCTCTTAATCCTTATCCTTACACGATTTTGAAAAAAAACCCTCCAAACCTTCTTCCCGTCGTCGCTCTCCTTCGCTGTTGAGCTCGTTCTCCGTTGTCGCCTTCGTCGTCAGCTTCCTCGCCGTCGTCCTCTTCACTTTCCCCGTTGCCTCTCCTCGCTGTCGTCCATATCGCCGTCGGCCTTGCTGTTGCCAACCCATCCTCGCCGTCGCCCTCGCCGTTTCCAACCCCGCCGTTTCCACCTCGCCGTTTCCAACCCAACCTCGCCCTCGTCGTCTCGTCCAACCTCGCCATCGCATTGCTGCCTCGCCGCCGGAACTGCTGCCCCGTCGTTTTCCCTCGCCTCCTCTACCCCACGCCTCCTTTAAGGTATTTTTTCTAATTTTTTAAACTTTAAATTAAATATTTAATTATACTATTATTTGTTTATATATTTTTGCATTAGGTTAATATTTTATTTACTATATAATTGAATTGCTTTTGTGTTTATGTTTATGTTGAAATGTGACATTGTGATATAGATTGCGTTTGAAATATAGATTGTTTAATTACTTTTTGTTTGATTCTACATGATCTGAGTGAAGAATGAATAATTTCCAATGATTACAATGATGAGGTTACATGTGTATATATACAAGAGAGTTTCCTAGTTAGGGTAGGAAACATATATGGTAACCTATACACACAAGGCAACTACAATAATTACAATATTAAATATAATAACAATATATTTAACATGCTCCCAACGGCGCTGCTAATGAAGGCCGAACCCCCAAGCACTCCCGGAATTCGGTGAAAATGATGGTTGGGAGACCCTTCGTGAAGATGTCTGCATATTGAAGTGACGAAGGGACATGAATGACGCGGACCTGCCCGAGGGCTACCCTGTCACGAACAAAATGAATATCAACCTCGATATGCTTCGTGCGTTGGTGCTTGACAGGGTTCGCCGATAAGTAAACTGCACTGATGTTGTCACAAAAGACAAGGGTGGATCGGCTAAGAGGCTGCTGGAGCTCTAAGAGAAGATTCCAGATCCAACTGACCTCGGCAACAGCATTAGCGACAGCTCTGTACTCGGCCTCGGCGCTAGAGCGAGACGTGGTGAGCTGGCGCTTGGAGGACCAGGAAATGAGATTGTCACCAAGAAATATGCAATATCTAGATGTGGAGCGACGAGTGTCCGGGCAACCAGCCCAGTCGGCATCTGAATAGGCGCGCATGTGATCTGTTTGCGACGGAGTGATGGAGATGCCGTGGGTGGGTGTGCCATGGAGATACCGGAGGACCCGCTTCATGGCTGTGACATGGGACGTGCGTGGGGCATGGAGGAAGAGACAGAGCTGCTGGACGGCATAAGTGATATCGGGACGAGTAAAAGTCAAGTACTGCAGCGCCCCAACGATGGATCGATAAAGAGAGGGGTCTGCGGCTGGTGATCCTCCAGAGGCCGACATCTTACCTCGTGTGTCAACGGGGGTGGAAACCGGTTTGCACGAGAGCATGCCCGCTCTTTCTAAGATGTCATACAAAAACTTTGTTTGTGTGAGAAACAGACCATGAGTGGTGCGCTGGACATTAATGCCGAGGAAGAAGTGGAGATCCCCCATGTCAGTCATAGCAAATTCACCCTTGAGCCGCTGGATGATCGTCTGAAGAAGTCCCGATGAGGAAGCTGTGAGAATGATGTCATCTACATAGAGTAGTAAAAATGCCATATGAGACCCCTGGCTCAGTGTGAACAAGGAAGTGTCGCTCTTGCAGCTGCGGAACCCAAGAGAAAGTAAGAAGCTAGTGAAGCGCTGGTACCAGGACCGGGGCACTTGCTTCAGTACGTAGAGCGCCTTGTTCAGTTTGCAGACATAATGAGGCCGAGAGGGGTCCTAGAACCCAGATGGTTGGGCGGTGTACACTGTCTCAGTGAGATTCCCATGTAGAAAGGCATTTTTGACATCGAGCTGATGAATTGGCCACCCTCGGGACACGGCAAGGCTGAGAATAATCCGTATGGTCGCCGGCTTGACCACTGGGCTGAAGGTCTCATCATAGTCAATGCCATGCCGCTGATTAAATCCACGCACAACCCATCGGGCTTTATACCTGGACAGTTCACCTGTGGGGCTAAATTTGTGTCTAAAAAGCCATTTGCCAGTGATAATGTTTTGGTTAGGGGAGGGGGGGTACTAAATCCCATGTATTATTAGCAATCAAAGCATTATATTCATCTAACATAGCATTGTACCAATTTGGATCTTTGAGTGCACTTCGGTAGGTGGGGGGAAGAGGGGAAATACTAGCAACGGTGTTGAGGTTGAGAATTTGTTTGGGACAGAAGATGCCGGCTTTAGCTCGGGTTACC